AAAAGAAAATGCTATTAGTTTTAATGATTTATATAATAATATAACTAATTCAGAAATGCAAAATGAAATTACAAATCGGGATGTTATAACCAACTATTATCTTTTTGGTAAAGCTCTATCAGAACGACTTGAGCATTACAAGAAATCAAATCCCTCATATGCATCTTTGTTACTAGTTAATAAAGAAGTTAGAAAACAAATACCCAATATTACGGATACTACGCTATGAAAGAAAGTAGAAAGATCACGAAAGCTTTATAGACTCTTTATTAATATTGGAGAAGATAAAATTTAAAGAGTTAAATCTTTTAGTGCTTTAACCATTACAAAATTAAATAAGGAGGATATTGATAATATTATACTTAGCATTTTGAAACCGAAAAAATTAATCTACTGCGCTAGTCACGTGGGGTCACATGTCCTGACCGCTGAGGTCAAGATTGATAACGAAATATTAATGTTTTTTTACTCCATAAATTTAGCTATAAAATTAATAAAGTTTTTATATATTGCTATTATTCGATTTTTATTCAAGATTTTTTATCTATTGCAATTATCTACCATATGAGGCTTATAATTTGTTTATAAAACAGCGGGTTTGTATAAAAAATTTAGCCACGTATATATTATTTTTTTTCTATTAATATAACAATAAATAATATACTTACAAATCAAAAAAGTTGAAATTATATTAAAAAGTGGCATATATTTAGAGGGTAGAAACACGGGTGTAAAGTTTGTAACGAATGCATTCATCATTCACACCTATATTGCAAAACTTGCAAAAAAGTAGCGGATGGAATATATAAGCGGTATGAATGCGATAACGTGTTAGAATAAATTTCGCATACATATAAATTTATCTGTACTATAATACCTTACAAGGCTTATTATTATGCATAACTCCTGTGAAATGAGTAAAAAGTACTATTTTTAAGTTTTTTTCGAAATAGTACCCTAACCCAAATTCGGTCAACAATCTCATGACACATACGTTATCTGTGCAACCAAATCTTTATACGAATTTTTTTGAATTTTATTTACAAACGTTCATAGAAAAAATAATACCCAAGCTTTAGATCTACTCCAAAGCCGGTACAAAAATTTATTTATTCTAACCAAAACATATATATTTCTGCTTTTATAGTCTTTATAATAAAAAATAAAGGCTCTACTAGGTGGTCGGGCAAAGTATAATACATAGGGATCTTTCTTTATGCCGTAATGCCAAAGATATCAAGATCTCCAATGCATATTCTGCATGTCTAGGGGTACTCTATGACAAACGTAATGTAATGTCGAGTGTAAAGATTGGCGTAAAGTGCATATGAGGTTTTTTTCTTTGTTGCCCTTCTCTTTACACTACCATTCAGAGACAGGCGAAACCCATTTATAAAGGACAGTATAGTGAAAACATTGTTATTTATCGCTTATTAGTAATTTTGTTTTATTTTTTTCATCACTTTCAATTAATTTTTTTTTTAAAAAAAAAAAAATAAAGATGAATTTTGAAGTTGAAGAATTTTTTCGTATTGAGAGGGAGTCTGTCACTCTTGCTATAGTAATCGTAGAATCATCCTATATAAAAGGATTAATATTCGAAGTGGATCTTGTTGAAATGCTAAAGAGCATTGGTGCTAAAGTTATCCATAAAGGGTGAGTTTCTCATTGAGTTATTTGTTAAGTTGTTGTGTATTCGAAGTTACGCTGTCACATCGGTGTAAATATCTAGTAAGAAATTAAAAGCACATCGTAGCCACTGTTTTAGCAATGAACGTTCTTTCTTTCTAGTTTCCGATGTTCCTGAGATGCTTAGACACTGGGAATTTATAATGAATAGGATACACTCTAACATAGAAAGCACTGTCGTTGACTATTCCACCTATGCAACTTCTTTGGTTAGTTGATAATTATGATGCAAGTATTCATATTTTATTTTAATTTAGGAGATCGGGTAATGGTGGCATTGATATTATATGTGAAATTGCCATGACACGATTTATTATCCAATGTAAAAATTGGGTCAGACTCAATATAGGTATTATTATTATATTAAATCAGATGTTTGGGCCTACCTTCTCGCAATACTTGCTCGAAGCCAGATATAGTTAGTCAACAAATTTTTAGCCATATATATTTGGCAGTCAACTATATATCTTTTTTTCGAGCTTGCGAGAAAAAAATAAAATTCAATTAATAATATTAAATATATTCACAGGTCGCCCGGTTGTAGATGAGTTGCTTGGTGTGCTCACTCGAACTAAGCAACCAAAAGGAACTATTAGTATAATAGTGGGTCCCTCTATGGATAGCTTTACTCCTGGTGCAATAGATGCGGCACTAGAGATAGCAGAACCACCGGAACCATCAGAACTATTGGATCCATTAGAACAACTACCTACATATCCCATCATTGTGACAGATGTAGACCGATTGCCCAAATATTTGATCAATGCAGTTCTTGATAGGTTACATAACGAACCTTATACCTTCTCCCTCCTACCATGAATTTGTTTAATCCATTGTATATAGTTTTTTTCTTATCGTTGTTTAATCCATTGTATATAATTTTTTTTACTTTTCTTATCGTAACAATAAAGCTGGCCCCGGTGGCTGATTTGCATACATAATTGCGTTTACTTTGCATGTGTATTTCGATGTCATATATAATTTATTGAACAAATCTGTATTAAATAAAGTAATTTATTAATCATGCAGTTTGAATTGAATTCATTAGAAGAGAAAGCTAAAGAAACAACCCTAGCCGAGCCTGAGGCTAAGCATGCAGAGCTTAAAGCTGAGAAAGCCAAGCTTGAGGCCAAAAATGGAGAATATGTAAAGCTTAAGGGTGGGATTTCAAAGCTTAAGACTGAGAATGCCAAACTTTTAAAACGAATTATAGAGGAATATGCTAAAAATGAGGATGATATAGCAAAATTAAAAACTGAGTTGCAATATCCAAACCTCTTTGAATGAATTAAGGCTACAATTCTTGAGCTTGAGGCAAGGAATGCAAAAATAAGACCATAGATGAATTTACAAGCAAATCAGAATCTAAAAAAAAATCGCAAATTCCAGACTAAATGCATTCAAATAGCTGAGAAAATTCTTAAAGAAAAACCAATAATTGAGTATCATCCTTCCTTCCTGAATGGATTGGAACTTGATGCCTTTTTTCAAAAATATCAAATCGCATTGGAGGTCCAAGGAGGTCAGCACCGATTTCATAATACTGGCTGGTATAAAGATGTCAAAAAAGCTCGAGGATATAATTAATCGTGATCGGAAAAAAGGATGTATATGTCAAGATAATGGAATTTTCCTACTTGAAGTATGGTACGATGAAAATCCAAAAATCGTCATTCCCCAAAGAATACAAAAATTAAGTGTTTTATCAATCAAGCATACAAAATTTTCGATCAATAATCAATTATAATGTATAACTTAATATCTAAATTGCAGACAAGTTTTTAATATATATCTTGTAATTTATAATGCCGTAAATTGTCGCATAAGCCACCCCCATTATAGAAGACCCCCTTTCTAGTAGACCTGGGTCCGTTACTTGGGTTCAGTGAAAGGCAAAATGTATAAGACCCGGGTCTATTATGTGGTCACGTATTATATCCGTCATATATCGTTTTAGCCCTGCATAATACTATATATACATTTTTCGACCTTCATGTTTTAAATAAAATATTGTATATATAAAATATAGATGCTACTTAACAATTATCATGTGAGTAAATTTCTGAGACTTTATATAGTAAATAATTAAAAATGTAAAATTGCAATTATATACTCTAATTAATGAATATATCTGACTTTTCCCGAATATAATATTCTACTGATTGAGACTGGAAGCTCACGGTGTTTTTTTTCTGGATGGTACGCAAATATATTTTTTTCCAATACTTCGCTAGCTTCTTCATAATTATTGAATAATTCCATAAACGCTGTAAAGTCCAACTCTTTAGAGTCCAATAAAGCTTTAATGCTTTCTTTCCTACTTCATGGTGCAACCGCTTTCGGAGAAGTTGTGCTTCATTAAATTTCTTTTCCACTTTACGTAAAACTGACTGTTTAATAACTGCAGAAAAAGAGAAAAGAGTTAAACAATTAATATAAAGTGGAGTTGCATAAATTCATTTTGAATACCTTCGAAGTTTTGACCAGCTAGAGACTTGTTCGCTACGCGTCTTAAATCAATAATACGGCCACCAACCAATTCATATAATTTTTCTGCTTCCTCCTTTTTTACCTTGCGCTTGTCAATTAGATAATTTATTGATTCTTCCTTACTAAGATCTCCGATTTCAATCGGATTCTCTGCACGCGACCAGGCACTACGGGCTAAAATATGAATCATATCTTGTAAGTAATACTACCTTTCGAAAGTATAAAAAATCATATACTTACATTCCATTCTTCTCGGGACCGAACCTTCACTACTTACAAACACAGCAATATAATTTTGGTAATCGGCATTGTCTTTTGCGTCATCCTGAAGAATATCAAGGACTTCCGGATTCTTATGTACCAAACGGCTTACATTATCATAAATAATGACTGGAGATTTGCCATGCTTTGCTTTATAGGTAGCAGAAGCACGCTTGAAGGCTTTCATGGCTCTCTTCCATTCAGAAATCTCAGACTTATCTGCAAAAAGGAAATCGTATCAAAATATTGATTAGCAACAATTCAAACTAATGTTCATTTATTACCTTTAGTTGTACCCAAGATTTTTCGTCCTAATTGTACAGTGAAAGAAATATTTTCCTCAAATGCAAAATTAATAGCTTTTCCGAAAGCATCGCCCAAGTCTTTGAAATCGGGTGGAATATCAACGTAAATGACTCCCGCTCCGCCCTGTATTCCTCTATCCTTATCCTGCCCAGCTTCTCTTGATGCAATCCTAGTTAACGTAGTTTTCCCCGTTCCATGTTCTCCGCAGACAACATGATAAAATGATTGGTCCTCATTAGGCTGAAGAATCTTTTTAAGACGTTCTATAACTTTAAGCCGAGGGATCAACTTATCTTCTGAAATTCCCACACCAGGCCGAGTTCCTTTTTTCAACAGTTTCGTTGAGGAGGCGTTCGTTACGCCTGTTTCGGTACCAAGCATATAGAAGGTCCACTGATATAAGACCAGCAATGGCTCCCACAATCATGTTCGCTAACATAGCGTCTACAAACAGCAAAATATTGAGAATTTGATCGAAAAAATAACAGCAAATAATTTCATACCGGAAGCCGTTTTGCATAACCTTTTCCGATTTTAACCAGGTATTTATTCAAGTTGGAGGATGAAATAGGTTTTTCGGAAGGGATGTTGGGGGGGAGGAATGTGATGTAGAGGTATAAGATCTCAAAAGTGACGATTGAAATAGAACAGGGTTTGAATTTCTTGATGCAAATTTTTGTGGTTGAAGGGACGTGACTTGACGAGTAATAAAGCGAGATGATAAAACACTCCTACAAAAACTTTGCGCCATAACGGAAGAAGTTTTCATTAGTTGGATCGTAAAGAATAAGAAAAGACTGATGATTAGATTCAAAAAACTTTTCTTATTTATAGCTGATTACATAATGGAAAAATTTATCCGAACCGCAGTACATAAGCCACTTATTCATGTGCGAGATGATATGGGCTAGGTGCTGGAAAAAGGGACGAAATTGACAAAACAAAAGATCTTTAGAAAATCAATTTTTATGTTATATAAATAAATATCAGAATTCAATCCCAATAGTAACAGTAAAAGCATAGGTTAATAAGTAGAGCCCATTCACACGATCAGTTAAAAAAAATGGCGAGCCCATGGGACCCCCCCTCTTTATTTAATAAAACATTGTTGCCGAACATTATACAAATAAAATATATATTTATTATATAATAAAAAATGCCTTTAACGGGTTAGGTTGGTGGGGTTTACATTTGATCCAACATTTCCTCCCGCTGACCAGGATTTAACCAATCATTATCATCATTGTCCCTATCACACTCTAAGTTTTCTTTTGACATTTTTCCCCAGGTCTCATCATAAGATAAAAATTCTCTTGGCTTGTATTGTTGTTTTGATTTAGAATAGTTGAGGGTCTTATTTTTCTTGTTCTTAGAGGTGGTGGTTTTTTTGTTACTGCTCATTTTTTGTACTTAAATACAAAAAACAAAGTAAGCAAAAATTTGTTTTCATAGTCTCCATCAAATGAAATAGCAAATTACTTAAAAAATAAATTACGGGCAAGTAAGTCAAGTAAAAAAAAAAATATAAGCAAAAAAATAACGTTATTGCTTAACTCACCTTACAAGGAAAATCCGCTTATTTTTATACTGTTCATTTGCTAGATCTAAAAAACTTGCTAGAAAAAAAGTTATATGATTAGTAATTGCGTTACCCTAACACAAGCCGGACCACACTTAACAAAGCAATTCCGTTCGGTTATAAGGCCCAAATACTGAATATATTTTGTTGTTTTTTAGCCCCTTTAGATTCAACAATCGGTACCGTGAAGTGAAAAAGTCAACAATCTCGATAATCTGGAAATTCTGAGTCCCCATGACATATGAATTTGGATAAAGCTACTGATAAAGAATGTTCTACTATTTCTCCTTATAGCATTTTTAAATCTTATTCGTGCTTGTCTTATCGCGGTATCATATATAACAAAAAAAAGATCCTAAGTATTATTCGTTAGCGTTATTAATAAAAAATTGACTGTGGGAAATAATTCTGTGAGAAAGTATCACAAAACCTTATACGTACCCAATTTTGTATAACTAACGCAGTGTTAAAGTTTTATTTTTTAACGTTAAACTACCTTAATATATACGTGGTTATGTCTCCTGAAAGGAGGATGCTTCGCATCTAAAATAACGCACATATTTGTTTCTCGAATATCCACAGATCTTTTTCTGAATTCGTATTGCCATTTTTATAGTGAATCCAGAAATCGTATGCTGACTGAACATCTACACGATTTACCAGAAATGGAGTATGAGTAAGACGAAAAGCCACTGCATAATTCTTCAACTGGATATAGACGTAAGTCCTAATTCATTATCTCTTGTAAATTATGTATATTTATATCATATAAAAATCTGATTTTTTTTTTTCACCTTACGTGGTAATTATTATAGCGCCAATACTAACCTCTGATTGGGTATAGCCCTAAATAGATGGTATGATTTAACTTCACCTGTTTACGCTTTTGATGTTATACAAACAGTCAAAATATTAAGACTAATATATCGATGAACAAGTTGTGATCAGGAATATCATCACGATAGTACCAAATCAGCCTTAGCCACATACAGTATCATGCGTCAAAACTGATTCTGAACTTTACCCATATTTTATTCAAACCATGCATAATCTTAAAAGTGCTCGAATCATCTAATCGATTTACTCAAAATTTACGTTCCTCGCCTTTTCTTATCGCAGTATCAAAAATCGACTGAGAAATTAAGCTAACACTACATAAATTTTAATACTGGCCATTGATTATTGAAGCCGGTCAAGTTTTTATTGCTAACCCAAATATCAAGTGATCGCAATTTTAGCCTCAAGCTAGACCAAAATAAAAGCGGACCCGTGGGACTATTAAGTCATATAATAGTATGACATAATACGTACTTATTTTTTTCTAGCACAGATCAATGTCAAAATAAAACACTAATAGCTGTGAGATTATTTTGATTACGTGGTTGTGTTAAACTAGCGCACATTTATGTTTACAGGTATTTATGTATCCACAGCGTAAAAAAAATGTGATACTATTAACATGGTTTGTTATTATATATAATGCATAAATAACGAAGTGCATAATGGTTATTCTAAATTTGTAAATCGGGCTTAAATATAGCGTGTAAAATTATTACAGTACCCATATACCTTTCAATAAGTTATTAACCCAATATAGAAAACGTGCGATTGTTGGGCGATTTATCGTGTTCAATAATTGTAATCTTGAAACTGACCTTGCATAATTTGTTGAAGGATTTACTAATATTAAAATATAACCATAACAAGTATATACCTGCGATGTCGAATTATTTTTAACCGAATATGGCATTATTCCATAGCCACATAATATTGATATAAAATCCCTCTAGAGCAATTTTTTTACCGATATTTCATCTACACTAGGTTGTTTTTGTGTTGATAAGATGATTGCCAGAACTATTTGTACAAGTATGCTTAGTCAAGCAAAAAATTTCATTTCTACTACCAAAGCGATAGGGCCTCTGACTATGTATCTTTTATATTAGAGAAATATTATGCCGCAGGGACTCGCATTAAATGGTTTAGGATCTGCGTACTCCCTCTCTTGAAAGCATGTCATATATTTCATATATATTATTAAAAAACACTATTACAAAGGGTGCGATTGTCAGATTATAATTGTCTACGTAGCAAGAAGAGGAAGACCCGATGAGCTTTCTGCGGTTTAGTCTACTGAGCTACGAGATGAGAAATAGTTTGAATGTATCCACCTCACTATACTTTTTCTCTAATAGTCATACAAAAAATTTCATCTATAACTTTAGGCGATAGGGCCTCTGACTTAATATATTTAATCGATATTCATTCATTACAATACTTCTCGCAAAAATTAAATCCAGAATTAAGGAAGTATTAAGTTAATAAAATCTAATAGGTCTATAAACAATATAATCGTTAAAAAAATTATAAGTCAAATAATCATTAAATATATCTAGTTTAGTTATTCCTATTGTTATTGACAAAAAAAATAGAAGATTACCCAAACCTTTTAATAACTATTCTGGGTATGATCTGAAATATGTGGAATCATATATTAACAAATATTGTGGTATTAATGATTATCAACGATTCTTTGATGAACTTTTTGAAACTAAAAGACAATATAATACACTATTAGTTATTAAACCATACGAAACTCCAGTACAGTGGGCTATTCGAGTTAGAGTTCCTTTACAAGAGCTAGTTTCTGAGAGAAAGAGGAGTATTTATCATACACATGCTCTATTTCTAGCATTTGGTAAAGGTAAATTTGTAGATCATGATTACTACCGACCTAGAATTCATAAAATTCATATGGCAATTTGTCTTGATTGTTGGAAATTGATTCAAGTTAATGATGAGAAGCCAAAGAAGGTATATGCTAATGCTATATATAGATATATTGAAAGACTTGA